AGGTAGAGAATGTGAAAAAAAATTATAAATAAATAGAGAATGCAAATGTGTTTGTAATGAGGCGTAAATGAAAGATTGTAGGGGTGTAAGTGACACTTGCACCCCTCCTTCTCTTGGTAAATTTTTTTTCCCCTTTTTCTCACTAGTATGTAATTCTTCCAAAAAAATAAGATAAAATAAAAATGTCTTTTTAGGACATTATTTAATATTAAAATTTGAGTAGAAAGTGTTTGCAAAAATTATAAAAAAAATGGTATGTTGAAGGAATAATTGCAAAATAAGGGGGAATCTAAACTAATTGCATTTGAGATGAAACTTTAAAGAGTAATGATACATTCTCTAATTTTGGAGCTCTAATGATGTTACAGATAATAAAAAAAATCAAAAAAAAAAAATCAAAGCCAAAACATCACGTCACAGTAAGGTTCACTCCTATTAGAGCTCATTAGACCTCTTTTATTAGAGCTCTCAATCATTTTTCAAACTTTAAAAAATATGGTTGCTATTAACACTTATTTTTAGAGCATTGCTATTATCTCCTACCTTTCTTCTTTGAACCCTCACCTCATTCATTTTGTTTTTAATTCTAATTTTGTCCCAATCTAAAATTCTACTTTTACCTTCATTCCTAATCTTCTAAACCTAATTTTCCAAACTCTAACCTAACCCTAATCACCTCTGGCAATTCCCCCATCTCCGACCACCTCTCATCATTGCAACCTCTACCATCTCTGATCACTTTTCACCATTACAACCACCACTCCCTCCGTCAATTAGCCATCATCTCTACCGACAAGCACCCCTATCCCCTATTGCAGATCTGAATCAGAGAAAAGAGATAGACCCATTTAGCACTGTGTTGTCAAACTAAAAGGATTCGTTTAGCACTGTGTTTCCAAACATTCTGGATTCGTTCAACACTGTGTTGTCGAACATTCAGGATTCGTTTAGCATTGTGTTGCCAAGTCCACTCCGCCATCGTGACCTCCCTTCCATTGCGAGAGAGAACGAACAACAGAGAAAGAGATGAAAACCTAAGGCTCTGTTTGTTTGGGCTCTGAAAATAGTTTTCAACACTTGAGTTTGAGCATGATGTTTGGTAAGAGTTTTGGAATTAATTTTCCAAAACTTTGCCGGAAGCTCTGTCTATATGTCAAAGCATTCTGTTTGTTGCAGAGGGGGCGTTTGAGGGAACGGGACGTCCGGCCGGTCGTCTGGCCGGTTGACCGGCCGGCTGTCCGAAACAGTGAATATATATATATATATATATATTTTTTGATTTATATAATCGGGAAAAATATTTTCTGAAAATTTTTAAATTTTTTATATGCTTTAAAATAATTTTGAGTTGTATGTTTAGTTATGAGTTGTAAATTTTTGTATCACATATCAAATGTCACATCAACAATTCCCCACTCAAATCAAACCTCTTTTCCAAAACTATTTTCAAAATTCTTTACCAAACAAATTTTCTACACTCAAATCATAATTCTACAACACACAAACTCAAAATATAACTCATACTCTCAAATTACATTTACAAAATACAACCAAACGCAGGCTAAGGTTTTCAAAAGAAGATGAAGAAAAAAAGAGAGAATATGGAGAATGAATACAAGAAATCACTCGCCATAGTTTGTGATAGGTTTTAATGGTGACCATTGTTGATGGGCCTTTTCTCTTGTTCTGTTTCTCACTTATACTTGATTTGAATGCAAGAAAATAAAGAAAACAAAAAGAGAATTCAAATTAGAGAGAGAAGTGGAAGGGGTTAGGGTTTAGGTTTGATTTTGAGATTAGGGGTATAGTTGGTATTAAAGTGGGGGTTTAAAGAAAAAATGTAAGGGTTTCATTTTGCTGAGTAGGGGTTTAAAAAAGTGGATGGGCCAAAGTAATTAGGTGGGTGTAAATGTCTGCCCTCTATTTTTATTCTTTGGACTCCTAATTTTAACTTTTTTTTTTAAAAAAAAAAATTACAATTATTTCCTAAAGTAAAATTACAATAAAGGATAACCTTCAATGGAACACTCACCCACCAAATGAAGGCAATTAGAATCACACTCTACAACATTATACACCCACTTCCACCTGCACCAAACCATTCGACAAAGACCATTTACTAACTTAAACCTTAAATGATATTCATCTTCTTATCACCATCCAAAATCCTAAACCAGAAATCATTATCACTGTGGGTTGAAATTGTTGGTTCAAATCATTGTCACCATTCATTGATATAAGAAATCAATAGTTTAGATGAGTCAAGCAAACCACTTTTTGTTCAGAATCCTTTAACCTTGAATCTTACTAAGGGTACGTTGGGGAAGTGGGTTGGCTTTTTGGTTTTTTAGTTATTTTAGACTGGTCTAAAAAGTCTCATGACTTTTTGTGTGAGAAAGAATGTAATGATTATAGGTTGGATGTGATATTTTTTCTTTTTGTGGCCAAAATAGCCCCACACCTACCCAACCTATTCTTCCTAAACGAAGCCTAAAAAGCTCAACAAACCATTTATGTTCAGCAACACAATGCTAAACAAATCATTTATGTTCATCAATGCAGTGTTGAACAAATCATATATGTTCGACAATACATTGTTGAACGAATCACTTTGGTTCGATAACACAGTCCTGAACAAAGAACCACAAAGATACAGTGGTATAAAATCGAAGAACCGTCATTCTTAGTTTCAAATGAGTTGGGGAATCATAGAGATGCAATGGTATAAAAGTGAAGAACTGTCATTCACCGTCTTTTAGTTTCAAACCAGATGCAATAATGTTTTCACTGTTAATGGGTTTAGGGTTTTGAATAAATCGAAGAGAAAGAGGGATCGTCATTTTTCAATTTGTTGGAGGAGAGGAACCGTTGTTTGTCGTTCATCGTTCACTGATGGAGAGAATGTGCAAATGAGGTAGGTGTGCATAACTTGGGTGATGATATTGTGAATATGGGTAAATTTAGTATTAAGTGGGGTGTTAAAAGAAATATTATTAAATGGGCAAATTACATATATCCCCTCGAGGTTTAGCAAAATTACAGATACCCCCTAAAGGTTATATTTGCATAACAAATTAGGGGGTAAATTATTATGAAAATATAAACCTCAGGAGTAATTTGTTATGAAAATATAAATCTCAAGTGGGTATCTATAATTTTCGAAACCTCAGGGGAGTATATGTAATTTGCCCTTATTAAAATTTAGGATTTAGGGTGGGGTTCAAAGAAATGAATGTCCAAACAATAAAGATAGGTGTTAATAGTAGCCCTCTTAAAACAAATTAAAAAATCATGAATAAAATTACTTTGCTACCCTTTCCAATTTTTTGCTCTAATTTCTCTCTCAGTTCTACTCCCATTAACCACATTCTACTGGTGGTAACTACCTTTGAAACCACTTTCAACTACCACTTTAGGCGTTTGACTGGCCATCATCTCCAACTATTGACAATCACTTTTAACCAATACTTCTTGTGGCTAATAACCGCCTATAACTATTGTCAACTGCCTTTTACCAGTGAAAACCACTTTTAGTTATTACCTCCCGTTACTAACAACCACCTTAGGCCACAATCTCCAACCGTCGACAATCATCTCCTGCAGCCTCCATTTTCACTTATTTTTAAAGCAAAATTTTAAAACACTAATGTACCAAATATATTTTTTGTTTTTGTTTTTACTAAATAAACATAGACATGCTTAATATTTTTTGTAAACCAAAAAAGTGAATTGTAAACGTTGCCAAACAGCCCCTAAGAGTATAGATTGATGAATCTAAAAATCAAAAGTCAACCCTAACAAACATATACATTTTGGCAGAAACGAACTTTTATACATTAAAATTTATGTTTTCTATAAGATTGCAAATTTTATCCCATGGGATTAAAGGTGAAAAGATTATTTTGACTTCCCCTTATAAAAACAACAAAATCATATTTTTTATGTAATGAGAATTTTTAATCCCAATTATAACTAATACCACCACGCTAATGTACAAACAGAAGCAATTAATCTCCAACCTAATATTAGTATACTCATAATTCAAGTCAACCTAATATGAATATCAAATATGGCCCATGTTCTTCTGCCAAAAATATGCCTTAAATTGATACTACATTAAATATGGCCCATGTTCTTCTGCCAAAAATATATCTATACTTAGAGCATCTCCAATGCACTAGGCATATAATACTTGTTAGTTAAAATGTCTAGTGTGATTCACTTTTTTCAATTCCAATGCACTAGGCATGTGATTAGGCATTTTGCCTCAGCTCATATTCACTAGCTACATGTAGCTAGCCTTCAACGCTAGGCAAAATGTATTCAATCATTAGGATCATTTCCCTCCATCTTTGTTGTTGACGTGGCATTCTATAAAATTAATAGTATTTGGATAAATAGCTAAAATAAAGAGCATGGTTGGAGTAAAAACATAAAACAGTCAATAGGCAAAATAAAATATATACTTTATAGTAATATTTAGATAGGTAAAATGCCTACTACCGTTGGAGATGCTCTTACTACTTAATTAATACTACTATATAAAGCACACAACTCATTTGATGCGAACACTTATGTCACCTATTTTCTCATGCCCAAATTGACCCTATGTCGTGTCGTGTAGTTTCGCTCATCCCTGTTTGTCACCCCCACACTGCAACATAAACATCAACAACCTGGAAAGATGCAGAAAAGAACCATAGGTGAATAGGAAAGGGTATAACTTGACATCCTAAGAACGACCTGAAACCTCTCAGCAACCGTCTTGGTTATACCATAATAGTGAATTTGCTACCAGTGAGTTTGTTCCAAACAGTGAACATGCACAAATTGACAATGATACCACTTAGAATAACCTATCATCCATAATGTTAAAGCGGTAATCAGCTACTCATGAACTTCAAAGATTTGATGTTGCTAGTCCTATATATGTAGCTTTAAAATAAAAAATAAAAAATAAAAAATAAAAAATAGTGAGAGAGAGAGAGAGAGAGAGAGCATATGTCAATGAACACTATATGAAAAGATGAGAGAAAATGATGACGGCAACAGCGACGACAACAAAACAAATCCAAAATCAATACAAAACCCATATATATTGGTTCTTGAAGATTCAAATCCCTACTCAACAACCATCATCAGATCTTGAGCTGTTCCAAGAGCCTTACTACCTCTGGTCCTTGAGGGTTGCCATTGCCACTCTTGTTCTCAGTTTCATCTACATGAGCTGCAACTGTTGGTGGCTCTTCTTTTCGAACAGGTGGAGCTGCGAAAACCGGCACAGCCTGCCTAATACAGACAGAAGGAGCAATTCGCACGGGTTGGGGTTGCATCACTTGTGAGGGGCACAAAGATGGTTGTGGGAGTGGTGGTGCGGAGAAAACTGGCACGGTGGTTCTTACTGTAACTGGCGGAGCAATCCCCTGGTAAGGTGTCCTGCAATGTCGAATGGGAACATAAGGAGCGGCCCCAGCTGCAGGAAACCTTTGAGGGCGGATTACACGGAGTTCGGGTGCCAGAGGCTGTGATGATGACTGTGTGGGGCTGTTGTCATTTGCTGTTGTAGATGTGGGTCTGTGTCGAGGGGCAGTCCTTTGGCAGATTAAGGGGAGGATTTTTGATGTGGTCACTGGTCGAGGTTGTGGACTTGATGGTCTTGGGTTCTGAATTGGAAATTTCTTTTCGAATGGTATTGGAGCATTGGAGTTGTAGGATTTGGCCATTCTAATCTTTTCCTTGAAACGATAATTCAATAATGCTCGTGCAATTTTGATTTGTTCTAGCTCATCATTGTTCTCTGTTTCAGATGATGAAGTTGCATCTTGTTGTGCCACTGGCCAGGAAAAAAAATGGAGACACAGAATTAACAAAGAACAAAAAAATAAGAATGATTAAATGGAAATAGTGAGGCTTAATATAAATGAATTATTAAAAAAATAAAAATGATATCATTAATACCAATGTCATTTGGGATGATCAAAGGGGGTTACACAAATAGTTTTTTTCATGAACTGTAGTGAAAAGAGAACTGATGACTGGTAAGATGTTCAATCCCATAATGAATGAACAGAAGATGAGTGTCCCACAAAAAAAAATGGTTGATTGACAAAATAAGCAGGTACTAGAAGGAATGATGGTTTGGTGCATCGCCAATTCCACACTGTATGTGTATTCTACATTAAATAGAATTGCAAGGAAAGTGTTCAAAATTCCATCATCACAAGGACAATCCCATACTTTGACAGCACAACTCGACAAGGCGTTGAATGTAAATCAACACATCACTCAACCAAGCACAGGATGATCAAGAACCTTAAACTTGAAATGTTAAAGCTGAATTTCTCTATTTCCCTCTTTCTCTCTGCAATTTGTACAAACCCGGTATGCATGTAACCCTACATCTATATTAATGTGTGGTTCAGCCATGCATCAAGTATCTGAATACTATGCAGACGGATGGATACTCCTGAGAGTGAACAGGGCCTGTTTGGTGCAGTTTCTTGTAGGCTGAAAGCTGATAATTAGAAAGCATAACCAAAAGCATCCCTTCCACAGCTTTCAGATAATCAGCTTTTTAGACTCCTAAAATATATAACAACACAAAAATAAAAAAAACTACAACCAGCTCATATAAGCTGCACCAAACTGCCTCACAATCTATGTTCCTTGGTCAAGTAATCACATTTATGATCACGGGATGCAAATTACAAGATCGTCACCAACTATACAAATTACTTGGCTTAAGAAATTAAAGACGGGGACTCACATTGTTTTAGAGATGTCCAAGCTGCCATGGCTGCATTTTTCTCAGCTTGTTTTTTGTTCTTGGCATGTTCCCCAGTAAATGTAATTCCAGCCAGTTCTACCATCCCTGTGAAGATGGGTTGGTGTCCAAGTCCTGACCTGAAAGTTGTGTACTGAGGCAATGGGGATCCAACTCTCTGCGCAATCTCCTGTAGGAGGTTCTTGTAAACACCTGTCTCATCCTATAGCCATAGGAAAGTCCAATCAATGCGAGAACAGAAATTCTATCAATAGCAGTAAAGCTATGAAATTAATGAATGCGACTTGCCAAGAAAAGAAAAATCAATACATATGGAATCTACAAAAGAAGTAGGGTAAATTACACTATTGATCCATGTAGTTTCATCTAGATTTTACTTTGGTCCTATAGTTTCAATTTCATCAATTTTAATCTTACACTTTTATCTCCGTTTCAATGTAGTCCTTCCGTCAAAATCCATAAAAAATGCCAACGGAAATAGTCCATGTGTCCCATGCATGTGGGCCGCAGATGCTTTTTCCATTGCCATTTTTAGCTGATTTTGAGGGATACACTACATTGAAATGAAAATGAAAATGAAAATGTAGGATTAAAATTAATGAAATTGAAACTACATGGACCAAACTGATATCTTGCTGAAACTATAGGGACTAATGGTATAATTTACCCAAAGTATGTACTACTTGGCCAAGGTTATGCTTGGTAAAGTTTATCTTTATTGTTTTATATTTATGTTTTCTAAAAATTTGTAACCTCTACAAACTGGTAATGTTTCCAAAAAATGGTAAACAATTTTCAAAATTTACAAAATTTTAGGAAACAATTTTTTATTTTTTTTTTGGCTTTTTCACTTGTTTTGAAACAAGTTTTCATTCCCTCCCTTTCACATCCCCCTCTCTCCTACCACCTCCAGCCACCCTCTCTTGATGGCCACCTATGTTACATAGATTCTTCTATTTCCCTTAAAGTACTTGAGTCTACCAGATACAATAAGGGTAATAGCACCTCCAACACTGATAAGCATGTTGCCTAACATAAATACATAAAAAAGTATGTTCTGTATTTTGCTTAACCATTTGCCTAGTGTGTGCTCCAACAACACCCTCTACTTCTGAAATTGAAGGCACTCCAAATGTAAACCAAGAGAGAATGAGGCAAAATGCCTATTGTATTGCCTCTCCAGTTGGATATGCACTAAGAGTGTGAAAAATGTCATATCCAATTTAAACACTTGGAATCTCTAATTTTTACGATGTTTAAAGAAGTAGAAAATCCCATTTTCTGGTATAAAAAAATAAAAAACCATTTCTAGCCTCTCACATGAATGCGCACGAAATTTCATATTTTTTTAAAATCTTATTTAATTTCAGGTATATTTCTACATAATTTACATCTTATCTAGTAATATTTTTTTTGACAAATAAAATTTATTGAAGAAAGAGCATCAAGAAAATGCTAAAGAATACAGAAATTAGGAATCCCTAAATCTTATCTAGTAATATTACACAATATGGAATATATGTGTGTCCATCCATGGCGTGTTCCTGTACCCGTATCCAATTAAGATTTAGGTTTATAAAGGTCTAACGCTTAGACACACACCTACACCCGCATTGGATACTTTGCATCCAAGTCTATGTAGCCGGCCACCACCTTAGACAACCGTCATATTTTCTTTATATATACATATATATATTTTTGGTTCTACAAACATGTGTGTACCAAACGCATCTTTCTAATTTTGTTTTTAGCAAAAATAAACATACACATTTTTATGTTTTTTGTAAACAAAAGTAGCAATCTATAAACATTACTGAAGGCTAACTAAGAGTTCTAGTTTTTAGGGCATACTCCATAAGAAGACAAAAATTCCAAAACATTCTCAGTCAGCAATTCATATATTCCTTTCTTTTCCTATCTGTAGAAAAAAAAATCACATCGTTTAATGAGAGCACTACCCACCATGCATAAGTTGATGGGAATGAAAATACCACACACAGTGCACAGGTCCACATACAATCACATAAGTCAATTTGTAGAACGACGAAGCGAGCAAATGAATCGAGCCAAGCTTTGTGGGCTCGAGCTTGGCTTGTTTGTTTATTAAGCTCGGAAATCCAACTCAGGCTAGGCTAGGCTCTTTAATACAATTCAAGCTCTAGCTCGACTTGAAACTCGATGATGAATTTTTTTTCTTCTATTATTTACATTAATTTTATATCATTTAATATATATAAATAATATACTTATATTATTTAAAGTATAAATAATATATTTATCCTATTGTTTATACACATTTTTACATTATTTAATATACAAATAATATATTTATCCTATTATTTAAATAAATAATAAACGAGTCAAGCTTATTTGAGCTTGAAAACAAGTCTAAAAGTCTGGCTCAAGTCAGTGTATTAACTTAATGAAACAAGCCGAGCTCGCAAACTGCTTGGTTTGTTTGCAGCCCTAACCAAAACCATATACATCTCAAGTTTAAAAAAAGATGCTGCTTAGCTATTTAATCACAAAATTGTGTGCAAAAACTGCTTTTAGTACGGCATAGAAATTAAATCATGTATGCATATCAACCTCACTTTTTTATTTGAATTTCATCACTGTTTGATTTTAAAAAGAAAATCAATAACAATAAAGATGAAAAAGGATTCAAGAAGATCACTTTTTTATTTGAATTTCATCACTGTTTGATTTTAAAAAGAAAATCAATAACAATAAAGATGAAAAAGGATTCAAGAAGACAATAACGCCAACTGCTAGAAAACTTAGCAAGGATCCAGCCGCCCTACACTCTACCCACACACACAACCAACAAAAAAAAAAAGAGAGAATATAATAATATTAAAAAATAAAAATAAATAAAAGTTCCTGGACAAATAAAATTGTTATGACCTCAATATATGCAAATCCATTCAATACTTCTAGGTCTGACATCCCATAAAATCTGTAAGACAAATAAAATAACGCAAGATATCAGAAATGAAATAACGCGAGGGTCATGCCTCCTGCAGAAGAATCTTATATCCTATTTCCTTTGCTAGACCAGACATCTATGAAACTTTGGCACAACACCAAAGTTGAGAGGCTAAGCACATAACACTTGACCAAAAAGGCCAGCGGTTAGAAACATATAAATTCATATGAACTGTGTTTAGTCGAGCAAAGTCAAAAAGATGGGTTGAAATATCTTTCCATATGCCCTCTTTAGCAAGGTCATGCGACTCATTTAGGTGAACGAGTTTCCAAATGCCGGAAGCTTATTTAAATAAAAGACTAAAATTATGAGAATGGTGAAGTAAGGAGGTAAAATGGAAGACAATTAGTTGATGCCTAAAATGATCAAGGCAAACTCCAAAGTTTACATTTGGCATACCGTCCACGTGACGGGGCATGGACAATTGAAGCCAGACAAATTGTACCCAACCACCTCTTTAAAGAACTGACGTAACATGAGCTGAATGAGACCGATAAATCCAGCCAGATTCATGATAGATAGCATCCTGAGATAGAAGCAAGAACCTCTAGTCTCATGCCTCCAACACTACTAGGTTAAAGAATTTAGAGCGCTAAAAGCAAGCCAATGCTAGTCAATCAACAACAACATATTCACAATGTCAAAAGGAGATACATAATAAATTTTATTTTTTCTTCTTTTCCAAAATCAAATCAGCATGTCCAATCTAATTGGTTGCCCGCTATATATGGATTCTAGAAATACAATTGGATTGGACACGTAGCCTAAAGATTTTAGTCTAATTTATGGGAAACGAGGAAAGCATTGCCTTGTTCACACATATAATGTGACTGATGTGCACTTTGAGCATTGCATATTAGATTAAATCCATTCCAAAAATGTGAAACTAGTGTCCACTTAATAGTGTTACCAAACTACATTGGATGCAAATAATAATAATAATAATATCTGTGGTACCTTCAATCACATCCATTAATCAATTACCCGTACAATTGACATATCACATGCATGATGCAGCTAGAAATTTAAGCATATTAAATTTAGGGAGACAAGTCCATAAATTGTAACCCATGTGCTATATTGAAATTAACCCATTTTGAAATCAATACAGAAATTGTTTAAGCAGCAGCAAAGCCTAACATTTCAACACGTGTACCTATCCCCAACTCTCCTATTTCGTATATAAATGAAACAACAAAAGTCTACAATTTCACTGTCTTTATTATATGGGTTCATACATATTAAAGTAAATCATAACTTAACAAGATGCAAAACCAATACGTAAGTTGACTTCATTTTATATTTCCATTCATTTAATATTTGAAATGGCCTCACCTAAAATTAAATGCTGTTTATCTTTATTTTAGTACTTTATAAATCTCTTATTTCTATAAGGACAATACTTTATATAAATATTTGATAGTGGAACAGTAGTGGTAGCTTCATATTTCACACTAGGGAGAAGAACAAGTCCAAGATATACTTTTAAGCTAAGCATTTAAAACCACAAAATTTTCTATTTTTTTTTAATGAATGAAATACCCCTCATTTAATGAATTAATGGTGGTAAAGTGACAACAGACCCAAAACAGCTGTTACAAAAATAATAAAGACAAAGACTAGATGGGTCTCTTGACTATTAACTACTACCCTCTCTCAGAAACTTCCCAGTTTGCCACTGCATATGTCCTAAAATTAAAAATGTACTTTTCCTTGGCTGCCCAGAAAATCCCACTTCTCTGTTACCAAACAAACAAACAAACAGAGCACCAAACAGGGGCATTCCAGTCATTTCATCCCCAAACACAGGTCCAAATTCACCATCAACCCCGGGTCAGAAACCGGTGGGCGCACGATAAGCTGGCTAACCTACACGGAGCACGATAGCGCATTCTCCTCCACCGGCAATTGATCACCGGAAAACCCAGTTGAGAGAGAGAGAGAGCTTAATTAGTCCCGCACACTAGCTTGAATTTGAACTTTCTAGCTTACAGTGACTGCAATTTTGAAGATAAATCGCTGAAAACAAAGACCCAAATTCTTTTACCAAAAAAAGAGACCCAAATTCTTTTCATATCTAACAAACAGGTCCAAATTCATCTCTAAACCGGCGATCAACAACCCCGGCTGGGGTGAGCGCACGATAAGCAGGCTAACCTACACGGAGCACAATAGCGCATTCTCCTCCACCGGCAATCAATCGCCGGAGAGAGAGAGAGGTCAATTAATGCTAAATTTGGGAGTATCTAGCATACAGAGACTGCAAATTTGAAGATAAATAAGTAAAAACAAAGATCGGAGGTTAGGGTTTGGGGAAAAACCCTAGTGATGACGGAGGAAGGGAGGTTAGACTTACGAGGATCCTAGCGGCGAGGGAGTGAGAGGGGCCGCGGATGGAGAGAGAGTTGAGGGCGACTTCGGCGGCGGCGTGCTCGGCCTGGCGAAGGGTGGAGAAGTAGTGGGGGCTGGAGAAGGACTCGCCGTTGAAATTGACGATGGCCTTGAAGCGCGGCGCGTGGTCTGGACCTTCCCTTATGCAGGTGTAGGAAGGAAGGTTGAAGCAGCTCCTCTGCGCCAGCTCTTGAAGCTGGTTCTTGTACATCTCCGCGTCTCTCTCTCTCTCTCTCACTCTATATATCTATGTATGTACACGAATTCTGCTTTCGATTTCTCTACAAAAATCGAAGCTTTTCCGGCGAAGAAGCCGCCGGAAAATGGGTTCCCGGAGCCAGATCGGAGATTCGGGATGATGGGTTGAGTTCGGGTTCTCGCCGGAGAAATGGGGTCAGTCGGAGTCAAGGTTTTGTAGGGTTCTTCTCAGAGAGAGACAGAGAGACTTTGGGTTGGGGTGTGTTGGTGGACTGAAAAGGTTGAAGGGGCAGAAGAATTAATTTTTGGAGTTATTTTTTGAATTGGAAAATTTTTATTTAATTATTTATTTTAATTTTTATCATATGGTGGAAGTCAACTGAACGTTAGGCTGCATGGATGTTGATGTGATCACTTTTTATTTATTTTTTTAACTGTAATAAATTACAAATACTCCTAGTACTTAAAATATAAATTTATCTTTATATTTTTAAGAATTATATCTCATCTTCTTTAATTTATAACTTCGTAACACATATAAAGTATATATTTTATTTTGCCTATCAACTGTTTTATGTTTTTACTCCAACCATGCTCTTTATTTTAGCTATTTATCCAAATACTATTAATTTTATAAAATTCCACGTCAACAACAAAGATGGAGGGAAATGATCCTAATGATTGAATACATTTTGCCTAGCGTTGAAGGCTAACTACATGTAGCTAGTGAAAATGAGTTGAGCCAAAATGCCTAATTATATGCCTAGTGCATTCGAATTGAAAAAAGTGAATCATACTAGGTATTTTAACTAACAAGTATTATATGCCTAGTGCATTGGAGATGCTTGTCTTTATATTTTTAAGAATTATATCTCATCTTCTTTAATTTATAACTTCGTAACACATGATTCTTTTTATTAATAAATTATTAAATAATTTAATAAATTTTAATAATATTAAAAATACATTTTAATTAATATTTCATTGTTGATTTCGGAATTTTATTTTTTATTAATTTTATTAAATAAAAAATTTTAACGATAAAAATATTTATAATTTGCTATTTTTGTATGTATTTTTCTTCTATTGTAGTTATATTGATCTTCTATTAGATTTTGAGAATGTATAATAAATTATATAATCTTTACATAATTATATTTACTTCCCTTTTAATAAGATTAAAATAATCAAAACTAATGTAGATAGTGTGAAAAATAAATAAATAAATAAAACACTAATGTAAAAGAGTTAAAAATATTATTTTTTATTTATATGACTAACAAATTATTAATAAAAAAATTCAAATTTTATATGAATTAAAACACGAGAAATCCTTTTGTACACCCTCCTTATAGGGGTGTACATATGCATGCATGTTATGTATTTTTGTGATACTTGTTATGCATTTTTTTTTATAATTGTTATTTATTTTTTCCTCCTTATAGGGATGTACATATGCATGCATGTTATGTATTTTTGTGATACTTGTTATGCATTTTTTTTTTTATAATTGTTATTTATTTTTTGAAATCACAAATTGTCGTAACGATAAAAAAAAAAAAAAGAAAAGAAAAGAAAGGGGTAACATTTCTTATAAAAATATGTAATAAATATCATAAAAATGCGTAACAAGAATGGATATAGTATATAGTGGGTACCAAAGGCTTGTGCTTAAAACACTTAATAAGCTTAAGGCAATTACATTGAAATTGCAAAACTTGTTATACTTTCTCCAATTATAATGTAATTTACTTTTTCTTTTCTTTTTTTTCTTTAAACTTGACAAGATATATAAATTGAAGGACAATTATATTCAGAATTTAAAATTTTTATAGAATTAAAAATATTTGTGAAATAAAGGTGTATATAGGACCACAAAGGTTGAATCCATGTGTGGGATTCATTTTTTGAATATATATATTTTTATATAAACTACATTTAAAAATCTTCTATTATTAACGAATATTACATTTCTTTTCTCATATATAAATCTATATATATCAACTCTCTCAACTATAAAAATTATACAATGCTTCATTTTTGAAAAATGTTTACAGAGAGTGAAAATGATATATTTTTATACTTAGATGAGTCAAAATGTATGAATTTCATAAATAGTAGGAGAAATGTGCTATCTTTTAATAATTAAATAGTATTGCAGTAATTAATCATATTTTAAATATCAAAATTTGATTACTACTATAACTAGCTTGTGAAGGGTGCACTTACCTACAACATTCATCTCATTCACGTTACGTGATAGGAAGTCATAAATACAAACCAACAAAATTGTGCATTTAAATAATTTCCTTCTTTTTTTTTTATCAATTTTATTTATTTATTGTTAGCTTGTTTGACCATAACGGGAAAATGCGCATTTGGGAAGTTAGGTTTGAGATTTTTTTTTGACTAAAATAGTCACAAAAAAATAAAATAAGTTTTTTAATCTAATAAAATAAAACATTACATTCAATCCATAATTATTATATTCTTTCTCTCATAAAAGTCAAAAAATCAAAAAAATCCATCTCAAATGAGGCTTTTTAACCCCAGGCTAAAATAGTTAAAAAATCAAAAAATCAACCTACTTTCCAAACGAAGACAAAGGATATTTGTTCAAACCTCTTTTTTTAACTTTTAGTCCATAATATATTTTTTTTATAACCTACACAGGGAGGAAATATTTGTTGCTTTCCGTACTCCTTGTGTCCAAGCCTTGTGTAATGTCGCTTAACCTGAGAATAGAAAGACGGTGAGTTACTCGGTAGTGTGCTGCCAGATAAACCCTCCAACAATCAAGTTAGCACACTTAGAGAAGAAGAGAAAATGCAGAGCACTTTCTAGAAAGAGAGAGTATATCAAAAATAGCTTACCTCTAACGGTTGCATGCTCCTCCTTTCCAAGGCTGGCCATGCAACCTCAGAGATTGTGGGCGCACTACCTCTACTGTCCTTCTCTGGACACGCGGCTGTGCTCTCCTCTACACTTCTTACACGCGTAGAGATCAAAACCTCTAAACAGTGTTTGTCGCACTGCCAAACGATATTGATACATACTAGAAGTGGATTTATCTCTTCTCTTTATTGGTCCACGTGGAACGATTGATCGGACTATTACTTGCAAACCACAAACGTTACATCGACTTTTTATATGCCAGGCAAAACCTGACCGGACTACCAAATGCATCGGGCTCAACGAAAGCCTCAAACGCCCAACACCAACCAAAGGTAAGAGCATTGTGCGGCATCTCGGCTGCATATCGCGATCTCCCGGACCGTACACCTCGTTGGTAGTAGTCCGAACAGGTTATAGTTCGGTCATCATATGACTCTACTACCTTGGACTTCCACATTGGGTCAATTCTGCCCACCAGTCGGGGGGCCAGCTCGACTGCGTTTGGTCGACATGATACTCTGAGTGGGGTACAGCTCGGCCTAATACATCTCGGATGACTTCAGTCTCGCACTAGCACTGTATTAACAACGGACCTAATCCAACCCAATGATGCGTCTCAGGTTCTATCCTGGCCCAATAATACATTCTGTGCTATCTCAGTTCGGCCATACTGTTCGGTACAAATCTCCCTCTTAATTGCCCCTTAATCCCATCCGAGTTGAACTTAAATGAGATTACCTTTTCTGACCAAGCTATCTGCTTCGACGGGTCGTTGAGACTTGTGCCAGTTGTCTCGTCGTCAATTCAATTAGCCGCATTGTCAATCCATTAGTTGTATTAACAACCTGTCACATCCATGCTACGTGTCCCTTCCCCAGAGGCTCCGTGCAGTCCCGTAACTATCATCATCATGCCAAAAGTTTGAAAAGTTTCTGCCTATTGGGTTTCCCCTCCATATATACGCACAAGAAGCCCAAAGACCCTTATCACTGTTTATCTCCTCTCTACAAACCCTAGTTTCCTCAAAGCTCACGTCATCGCCATCGCTGCCATAACTTTAGTTCGTATCGTCTACAGTGCTTGTCATTATCTAGGGCATCGCAATAGAGGCTCAAGTCGATTGAACCTAGATTCGTCTTCTGAATCGATGAGTTTCTCTATTTCCTCTCTATTTTCCATTGATGCTCTTCGTGTTCTTTATTTCTCTTTGTTTTGGGACTGTTGAAATACTGCTGATGCCCCTTTCGTGGGATAAAACTGATTAACATCTATGGATATTAGGCTAAATTGAAATCCTAAGTATGAACAGGGTTTCCTTGCCCTTTATTTCCCTTGATTACGGTAGGTGATTCTGAATTTAGGATGAGCACTGAAAATTCTGAGTAAAACCAATCAAAAATCCACTTTCAGATCTAAAAATAGGATTGAGCCAAGCCAAAACTAGTTTGTTGTTCTCCCTTATGGCTGAGACTGCGCTGTAAGTTTGTAGGAACATCGAACCGAGATAGGAACCGAAATATTAGAGGATGAGGACCAAAATCGGTTAAATGCCCCAGTATTTCAAACCGACCTAGAGCACTCTTCAACCTAAAAGCTGTGCAAAGTATGTCACGCTAATACTTGGACTTATTTTTTAATAATGCAGAACAAACTAGAACCTACTAGGCTCATTTAACATTACTGTCGGTGAGGCTCAAAGACCAAGCAAACAATCGCTGGACCCACCCAATTTTGATCGAGTTATTTATCACACAAAATAAAATCGGGACAAATGGGAAAATATCAATTTATGGTTAGTTCTCTAAGTGCCATGGCTGAGTTCCAAAAGGAATTTAACATTCTAGATAATGTCCACATTGAGCTAGCCAAGGAATGAGACACTCCATGGGGCAAATTGGACTTTTGCCCCTTCACGGTCGCATCCATCGTGGAAGGCGACCTACAATTTTCGGTCCAACCCTTGGTTGGACTTTTGCCCCTTCACGGTCGCATCCATCATGGAAGGCGACCTACAATTTTTGGTCCAACCCTTGGTTTGTGAATTTTTGAGGCAGTCTAGGCTATGCCCAACCCAAGTGTCTAATAACACTTACAAGATAATAAATGGTGTGATCGCGCTGAACTGGATCCTCGGTTTGAATCTCGGTCTCACCGAGATATTCCACCAATACATACTTAGTAAAAATAAATGAGGCTTCTGCTGGTACCTCAAAGTTAGGAAGGGCTGAGCAAAGCTCATAAAAGGTAACCCAGACAAAGAACTAAACAATGATGATTTTCTATGGGTGTCTGGCAATTACAAAGATACCGAGGCTGGAAAGCTGCCGTTGAAAAACTTGGCCTTGGACATGACTCCGGCGTGTTCAAAAATCCTCTAGCCACTTTAATCTCGACCCACATACAGG